GGAAAAAGAGAAAGATATTCAATCTTATTTACATAATGGTTACAAATTGTGCATGGGGTCGATGCAATTTTGTAAATTTCTTAAACCTAGTATAGAGGTCATATTAATCTGTATTTTCAGCAGGGATGTTACACCACAATTAGGCCATTTCATACAGGGCACAGAAAAAATGTTATTATTCAGTATTTTACCATAGTTTTGGAGAGAACATATTTGCAAAATGTCAGTGATTCTGTTAATGGGCACTCATCCCCAAATTCACAGCGGTAACTAGCATTTGACAAGAAATGAAGAATACAAAGAAGTAATTTAAATAACGCAAACATCTCCTTCTTTATTAGACTCATGAAAATGGAAATCAAGGAAAGACATGGTCCAATGGCTAACTTTTGTGGAGTGAATGACTAAGATACAAATACTTTCTGTCCTCTTTCAAATGTTATATTGACACTTTATACCTTTCTGAAAAATGTAAGGACAATGTGAGGTAGACTTACAGTTCAATACAAGGAAATTTAGGCTTCTCTGTAGCATATGCAAGGTGATTTGCACAGGCTTAGAGAAATTTGGTCTGTATAGGATAGCTGAAGATCCTCATTATTCACCTGGTAACTAATAATTGAGTTTGGTGTACAAAATAGGTTTGGGAATAAAAATGCCTTATAAATATCAAATGCATTGTCTACAGTAATATTGTATATTATCAGTTATATGCCTTTTATATAATAAATGCTGTTTTTCTTTCTCTAACCACAGAATTATACATATATATTTTTTTCTTAAATTCAAGATATTCTGTATAGATATTTCAATTAATCAAATATTTATTGTGTATCTCCTTGAGCCTTGTATAGTACTAGAAACTGGAGATATGGTTTTGAACAAAACAACAGCTTCATACTTTCTGAAACACAGGACCAGTCAAGAAAACCTATAAAGTGTTTATGGGAAAAGATAACTTTCATTCTTTCTTTGATTTGGTCAGAGTGTAATTTAAAATTAGGAACTACAATAGAAGTTACCTTATAAATGTTGGTTGCAAATTCCATGGTACCTTTTTTCCCAATTAAATCTAAGAATTATTCATTGAGTAACTATTGCTCTAGGTTTGATGCTATAGATACAGCGCTGAAAAATATGTCTTACCTTCATGGGGCTTAGTCTAATTATATTTCAGTTACAAATGCTATGCTATATATAAGTTAAATTCAAGATATTAGAAAATAGTGTAGATTACAATTTGTGTATAAAAAGATTCATGACATCTTTTACTTGACTTGCATGCATTAATCTAGTCGGAAACGTCTGAGACACAAACATATTTAAGTGTTTACTGGAAATTTTCAGCAATGAAATGATACTTTTTTCATCGATGTCATGTCTAATATATCTTACTATATTTAACCATGACTTTTATTAAAAAGAAACAGTTCTGTTTTTTGAACTTGCCAGAAATATTTGTATATAATATGATAAGAAAACTCATAGAAGCTTTTTTCTATCAATTGATTAAATGACCAAGAATCTATCTGTGTCTCTCTCAGTTTACTCTGATACATTTTCTGCAGTGGAAGTAAAATACAATGAAATGAGATACTTTGAGCTCATTCACGCATTCAACATTTTTCTTTCTTAGTTTCTGCACTCATCCAGACATTTTGCATCTTTGGGTATCAATTAAACGTGTTCCTCCTTTGCCTATCTTTCTTAATGTTTATTTGTTACTTTATTTCATGTTAGTGAGAGGGAAACTATTGGTTGGTGCAACACAGGTGATTCCTTGGTAAAGTCTTTGATAAAACTTGTGGAAAACTTTGTTATTCTTGTCTGTTACCACACGATCTAAATATAGCCAGACATTTTTGTACTCTTACTAGATAAACATCTAAACAAGCTTTTCTCTTTTCCTAGTCCTTGTCCCTCTTTCTTATCTAAAAAATGCAGTCAAGCCTTCGTAGTCAACCAAGACAGAAACATTAGGTATTCCTTCTAACAAGTAAATAATTTGTATTTCTAAGAACTTTCTTACAGGTTAGTATCTATTCTCTAGAATTTTTTTAATCCAGAAGGAAACCTACCTGAATATATTTTCTCACAAAAATAAGTCAAATTCATATTTTAAAATTGTAAAATTACAAAATCAATGAAAACTTTAAGAATATATGTAAATGCTATTATAACATTACTTTCTGACATATATTTAGGTAATCAAATTAATCAAAAGAAAAGTGTAAGATTGTACATTAAAACTGTCCTATAAGTGTCAGTGAAATTCTACATTCTCTGATTGTGAGGTTTTGATATTCAACAGCAGAATAGGGTTTATACCAAGCATAAAGGAAAAAAGAATATTTTCAAGGAAAACAAACAATACACAAATAAACTACCCATCATTAATTGCTAAACGTTTATAAATCCTCCTGACCAGAATTGCTAGCAGATGCTGAGTTTTGAATTAGGGATGATAAAAGTATCATCTGGATTGACCATGTGTATTGATTTGAAATTTGAACGTGTAAGATTATGCTGGATTTTTTATTGTCTCCTTTCTAAATCCCTTTTCTAAGTAAAAGCCAAGCTCTTGAACAGACTATTTCCAAGAAACAAATGTCAACATTCATAGCAGATTAATATTGTTGAAGAAAGGGATTTGATAAGACTATTATTCAGTATAATATAATCTGATTCTATTTGAAAAATTTTAGATAGGAAGTTGGAGATGGATACTGTGTTCCTTTGCACGAACTATTTGAAATACAATGTGACTCCTGAAAAATATACACTCTTTCAGCAATGTTTGAGCTATTACCTTTCCACTTTTTTTTTTTTTTTTTGAAGTAGGACTTTTCTAAATGTAGACTGAAAAATAACCTTTATTTCCTGGATAGCAGTCAAAATCTCCTTTCTTTGTCATCTAATGGAAAATTATTCCTAGAGCAGAAGAGCATCACCTAATGTCTCATGAGAAAGCTATTAGTATGAGATCGTCACATTTCTTAGATAAAAACTGAATGCCAAACATTAATGTAGAAATTCATTTCACAATCTTTCTTACGTCTTACATCTCCCTTCTGCTTTGATGAAGGTTGTATGGTTAGGTCATTAAAAAAAAATGAACTGGGTTTTAGAAGTAGAAAGATGATCTAATTTCTTTTCTTTTTTTTTTCTTCACTGAGAAAATGGAATCAATAGTCACGGAAATGACTGATGATGAAAATGGGAGTGATTTTAAATGTAGAAAGAACTGCAATATCAAAATTAATCTGGAGGGTTTCGTACATGCAATGCAGTAAGGCACTTGGCATGTGACCACCAATCCACAAATAACCCTCTTGTGGTGCCACACGTTCCTTTCATTTATGTCTTTTCAGTTTAAGATGACTCCTACAAATTTAACTTGGGGTTCTACACAAGAGAGATGAGTTTCTCAAGGCTACCGTGGGAGATGGCGTCAGTTGCCTTCCCAATATCCATGTCCCTCTTCTTCCTCACTAACACTCCTACTGGTTTGGGTTTTGTCCCAGTAGCAATATTTCCACCTCAATAGTTACTTATTTAATCTCTCTTGTGGTAGGGAGAGCCGTGGGATATTGTTCTGGCCAATGAAATGCAGACATGATCCTAGAGGAGAGCCTTTCTTCCCAAATAAAAAGTCACAGCTTCACTACAAGGAAGTCTCTTGCTTGCTAGTCTGACTTCATCCTGCCTGCAATTCAGAAAGACTGCAGTTCAGTCTTTAGAAGTAGCAGCCATCTTGTGCCTGAAATGAATAAAACTGACACACTGAGGATGGCAGAACAGATAGTGGGCACTGTGGAACAACTGAACTAATATCTGCAACTGCCTCCTACAGGCTTCTTATGTGAAAGGAAAAAAAAAATCCCCATTTCTATAAACTGTTAATTGGGTTTTGATTACTTGTAGTTGAACACTTTATGGACTGATGCATGATTTCTCTTAAATTGCTTTTGTATTGAACAATAGGGGAAAATGCAGTACATATTGGGCAGGAAGGTGCTATGTGTAGTTCTAGCTAATTTCTTCAAATAATAAGAATAATATTTTCAGAGGATATATCTCAGTTTTTATTTTCCTGGATGACTTAAAGCTATCCAAAAGAGAATTCATTTCTGTGGTCAGTCATTGTTTGTGGAGGACAAATTAGCTAATCAAGGCCAGTGTTGTGAAATAAAGAATCAAGTACAAATTGGCTTTAGTGCATGTTATCCCACAGCCATATCCTTATTTCAATGAACCACAGGATTTGTTATTCATTGCTTTGTGTTGCTAAGAATAATTGGCAATCCTATGGATTTCATTTGAGATGACAACATTTTTGTGATTGAGGCATTAATTTTAGCTTCTACTTTGTGCTAATTACTTACCTACTGACTGCAGTCAATGTCACCTTGGCTGAAACAATCTCTCTAAGGATAATTTGACAATTGATACCAAAAATCTTAAAAATATCCACACTCTATGACCTTGGAATGTCATGTGTGGAAATTTGTTTTAAAGACCAATCAGAAATAAATAAATTAAATTACCAACAAGAGGAGTTGGTTAAATAATTACTATTTAATGTATACTATGACATATTCTATTCTCATTAAAATACAGAGTAGTAATTACTATTAAATACTCATTATATAGTATAAACAAAACAAACAGATTATAAAATATTATATAAAATATTATTTCAATTCTAGGGAAAAAAACAGATAAAAGACTGTAACATTTACACCAAAATTTTAGGAGTGTTACTCTCAGAGTGTACAAATATGAGTGGTTGTTTTTCACTTTTGTAATTTTCAATCTTTTCAAATTCCTGCAATCAATGTATATGATTCAGTGAAAGATATTTTAAAAGGTTTCTTGGCTATTAGCAGCATGACTCTAATTTAACATTGAAAATAGTTAAGAGCAAATCGTTTTTGTTGATTATCTTTTCATCAACAAGCAGTTTGACAAAAGATTTGTTTCTTTGTTTTTTAATACAGAAATCCTAAATGGTGGAGTCTATGTAGACCAGAACAAATTCCTTTGTTATGCGGACACCATTCATTGGCAAGATATTGTTCGGAACCCATGGCCTTCCAACTTGACTCTTGTGTCAACAAATGGTAGTTCAGGATGTAAGTAGAATTATTATTTTTTTTAATGTCTCAAAATGTTCTACTTTATTTGGAGATGAATGAGTTATGCTTATCATGCTATTACTAATATTTTGAACTTTGATTGCACTCATTGAAATGTTCAGTTATATATGACAGAACAAATGGCTGACCAACCTTTTACTTCTAGCTAATTCTCTTTTGGGAATCATGTTTCCTCTTCAAAATTCTCATTGTGTTAACATGTTCCTCTTTGCTTAATTTAAATAACTTAATCATACTTCCAATGTACAAACCTGTGTCCCACTATCCACGAACTTAAGGCTGGTATCCAACCATTGCTCCAAGTTGCTGTGACCCGTATACCACTGAGACAAAGGTAGTAGAACAAAAATGTACCTTCCTATTCACTGTAATTTTTTAAATAAAAAAGTAAAAACTAGTGAATGTTGCAGAATTCTTAAGCCTCCATTTGCCCCTGAAGCCTTCATGGTCATACTTAATGATTTCAAACACTTATAGAATGGAGAAATATAGATTTCATATAGAAGAAACATATTACAGTCTGATTTTAGTCATTAGTCTAATAAACTACTGAATTTCTCATTCTTAAATTGTATATTCTTTTTACCACAAAGAATTTATCAGATTTAAAGTGTTTAATATGATTAAATAATAAGCAAATAATATTTGAACCATGATTTAAACCTTTGAAAATTATTCTGTCTGGTATCTCTTTCATTTTCATAAAGCAGGCTATATTGTCCCCACATTTATTACTACTGACATTTGTATGAGAACAGAATCTTTATCAAGTGTTAACCTGGGTTTTATATTTCTCATCTATTATATATTTCCCAGCTGAAATCATAACTGTCTCAACGTAGTTCAATAATTATTTGCTATATTACTGATTGTGTTATGACATTTTTGTGAAAAATCAAACTCCAAGGGACAATTATTAAATTTCATCATGGCCCTAATAATATAATGGGGCAATATGAATATATTTGATCAAAACTGACAGCTGTGTTTTTAATAAATGGCTAAAACTTTATGTAAAAAGTAGAGTAACATAATTTTCTTGTCACCTTTGAGCAGAAATTTGTATGGGATTTTGTCTTTATGGTATTCACGTTGCCTACTTTGTAAAATTACCTGTGAAAATAATGGAATCTTTTCACATTAATGAGACAAATGTTGTGTTTCAGAAATGGCTTCTGTTTTCAGTCTGCCCATACTATTGCGTATATTATATTGGCGGGGTAGTGGTGGTGGGGTATGGATATTGGTTGGGTAAAAGGAAAGGCCTGCTGACTATCAGCTTATCAGACTGACTAGTCTGTAATGCATGAATAAGATCAGGCAAGAATAAAGCCTGAGACAGAAGCCAAAAGGGAAGTGTGCCCACCAGCCTTACAGAATTTGGAGCAGGAAAGGTCTGAGGGGTTTGCTGCACTTTCACAGATGGTGTCTCTTTGTGCTATTCTTTTTGAAGATAAATTTGGATGGTTGTGCCTATAATTAGGCAACTGTGGCTGTATTGTTTTTTGCATGTAAATAATTGCAGGTGCAAAAATTATAAATGCAGAGTAGAGTCATAACCAACGGTCTTTTACAAATTATGAATTGATTGCCAAAGTTTTATTATTTACATAGTAGTTTTATTTGCTGACACATTATATGTACCACATGACACCATAGCTGTTAATAATGTATTGACTATTCTTTGACTATTAGTTTCCTATGGTTTTATCTTTAGTCAATTTATTTCTCTGTCCTCTCCCCAGGGGTGATCTCAGACACTCTCAGGGCTTTAAATGCAAACTCTAGGTTGATGACTCCCTAGAACTACATACCACCAACCAATCACTCAACCAGGTTAAAAATCTGGTGGGTCATTATTGTCTTTACTTTCACTTGGCTCTTGGCAGTTAATCACTAAGTCATCCTGATTTTTGCCCATTTCTTGATTTTACATATTTATTATTATGGTTGCCCTAGTTCAAGACTTCATCTGTGTCTAAATTACAAAAACAAACTCTGAATTTTTAATATTTTCTGAGGCAACGGACACTGCAGCAGCTTGGTGAAGCCCGTTGACCTCTTCTCATAATATTTTTAGAAGAATAAATGAGCACAAAACAAATACTTTAATTCATGAATGCATAGCAATCAATAAATACATAAAATAAATTACAATGGATTATAAGGAAAACAAGTTAGGTTGAGATACAGTTATCAAAATGCTTAAGAAACAGATACCTAATATGGTAATATGCTTATTAGTACATTAAATTATAAATATTAGCAGTGGTATTAATATCTAATATAATTTTCAATCAGTGATAGGCATAAATAATATATTTTAAAGAGAAGTCTCTTCATCAAATGATGCTGGGAAAACTAGATATTCATGTGCGAAAGATTGATCTTGGGCCTTTATCCTATGCCATGTTCAAAAATTAACTCAAAAGCGAATTACAGACCTAAGCATAAGACTTAAAACTATAAAAGTCTTGGCAGAAACTATGGAGTGAAAGCTTTATGATTCTAGGTTTAGCAATACATTCATGGATATAATGCCAAAAATACCAAGAGCAAAAGCTAAAATAGACCAATGGGATGATATTAAGGAGATCTAGTCACATGCTACAACAATAAATCTTGAGGACACTATGCTAAAGGAAATAAGCCAGTCACAAAAACATAAACACTGTATGATTTCACTTACATGAAGTAATTAAACTGTCAAACTCACAGAAAACAGAATGTAGAATGGTGGTAGCCTGGGGTTGGAAGGAAGGCTAAATGTTCAATTGCTCTTTAACGAGTCAAGTTGTAATTGTGCAAGGTTGAAAAAGTTCTAGAGATCTGTTGGAAAACAATGTGATATACTTAACATTACTAAACATACACTTAAAAGTGGTTAAGACTGTGAAGAAAAGGTCTGAAGTATCTATAAAAGCAATTAAAAATGATACTCCTTAAAAATATATTATTTAGGAATAATTATAACCAAGTTATATTTTCTAAAATTTACTTGAAGTATTTAAATTCAAACTTCAGGAGGGTTATGGAGAAGTTCTCAGCCTTTTGAAGAAATCCTTCTTTTTCTCATACATCCCTAGGAGAAATTATTACCTATCAACTGGGCTTATTCAGTAAACTAATCCTTCGAAGTGAAAAAATCATATAGTGAATGATGCTTCATTTACTTGGAGCACTATAGTAATGACCCTCAGCACCACAAGAATATCAAAATGATGTAAATAAGTTGCCCTCTAAAATTTAAGCAAACAGGAATATACAAGAATATTAATACGGAAAAATAGAGAAACAATGATTTCTCATCAGAGAAGATGGTATAGTTCAGAGAATGAATTTGGGAGCCAAATTGGTTTTTTTGAAACCTGGCACTGCTGCTTACCAGCAATTTGACCTTAAAAGTCCTTTATGCCCTCAGCCCCTCCATTTCCTCACCTATAAAAGACAGTGTCAAGAGCTGAGCTGAGTGGAGAGCTAAGCTACTAGGTGACAGTGGTCAATTCAGACAAGCAAAAATGGGGTAACAGTCAAGCTTTTAATCACTTACTGCAATGGTTTATTCAAGAGACTAAACCAGAGAAAGCACCAACTTCACTGTCTCATGTTTCCCCCATAAAACAGTGCCAGGTGAGGGTCAGATGGATCAGTGCAGACATGGAGAATTGTTTCACTGAGGAGGGAGTGGGAAAAAATTGTTCTGAAAGTTTTATGAACTTGGAAGCTTGAAGGAGAAAGGGGTGGGAAGGCCTGAGTGAAAAGTACAGAGTGGAGAAAAGGTGTCTTCCAGACTCCCTTACTTCCTCCCTATAAGGAGATCTTAGTGAAAGCATCTAAGGAAAGCTGCTATCAAAGGACCTTAATAAAGAGGTCTCTGAATAGCGTGCCTGGGCCAGGATGGGAGACATACATGAGACATGACTGGTCAGCAAACCCTGAGTCTCTTACTGCAACTCCCTTAGAGACTGCATTGCGTTGACTGGGCACCAAGTCTGGTGTGGGAGGACAACTTTCCCCCAGGAACCCTGCCAGGTAAAGTAATTGCCTGTGCTCCATGCTCCTGCATGAAAGATCACACATAGGTTTTCTTCCTTTTTTTTTTTTTTTTTTTTTTTGCCCAGGAGCTGTTATTATCATCAACTTCATAGGCCTATTATGAGCAATAAATGAGTTAATGTGTCAATCCAAGGGTGATTTCTTATGACAAAAGAATAAAGGACTTTCCAATTATAATTTTTATATGAATTGACCATATGAGGACAGAAGTATTTTTAAAATATGTGACAGTTATATTTTCATTATATATTCATTGACATTTAACTATGTTTCTACATTTTAAGTGTGTTTTAGTAACTAGAAGGTAGTCTCTCATAGGTGTAGCTCATCAAGACACTGAGAAGAACAAACCTCAGTGGCTCCAGACCCTGCAACCTTTATCTTTGATTACACTAGGTACATCACTTATTCTAAGTTGCTTTCTAGAAACAAATACCAACTGACAACTGAAGCGGGAGAGGGGGAATTGGCAAATTCATCGATACCACTGTATTCATGAACATAATTCCAGGACTAATCACTTGTTAAACCAGATGTTCTGCCTGCATTCAAACTATCCATGTTTTAAACTTTTTTTCAATGACTTTTACATATCATAGTAATGACCCACTCCTAATTAATGTTACACTTTGTATTATATATATCTAGCTTTCTTGAAATAGAATTCTCAAGATAGAGTACAATTAAACCTGATTTGTTACATTACCAACTTGTGTTACTCCTTCTATATGAAACTATTTAGGTAAAATAGATGTGCCTTTCTAAGGTACTTTGTAGTAAAGCAAAACAAAATTACAAAGTAGCAAGAAAATTTACCCTCGATGTATTGTAGTACAGCTTCAGTTTGTGTGCATTAGACATACAACACATCTAACTTTGCATAAACGTATATATGGAATGAAATCACACACACTGTTTTC